ATATATGTATATTACAATATATTAATTAATATATATTAGTTTATAAATAGAATCGAACATATAAAAGCGAGTATTTCTAAGTAGCAAATTATTGATACATTTACACCTAATATTATCAGATCTTATCATCGAATACATATTTGTTCTTTTCCAGTGCGTTGGTCACATCAGCGGCGCTTATATCAATCCAGCTATTACGATCGCCGCACTAATTCTTGGCAAGAAGTCTCTCATAATGGCCGGATTTTACATTATTGCACAATGTTTGGGTGCTCTGTTAGGTTTCGGCTTGCTAAAGGTCAATGAATACACACATATTCATTTATTTACAGATTATAAAAATCACAATTATGTTTCGGCGAAGATATTTGAACAATCATATTTCGGAGGTAATAAATTGCTGATCATGTTTGTGTTTATACATATAACGCGTTATCAAAAATTACATTATCTCAAAGTTGCAAACATTATTTTTTTATCCATTCAAACATCCGCTTGCTCCTAAAGATAAAATATTGATAAAATATTGATCGCGTTCAAGTTGAAGTAGGCTGCGTGTCGAGCGATTGAATATATTGATCGGATTTAAAAGTAAAAACTGATTATATTCAATTATTAGACAGGTTATGCTATTTTGTCGACTTAAATTCATTTATTATCTCTACATGGAAAGAACAATTTTGCTAAGATAAAAATTTAGCTAAATACAGATCTGAAAATAATTTCACTAGACTAATAATTGTAGGATTTAGTTACTGTCAACGTTTTTTGCAACATTACTCATCATTCTTAAATTCCATACATATCTATATAATAATTTTCATGGGTCAATAAAATCATTTTTAAATTAATCTGTATTTATATAAATTTTTAGAGAGAGAGAGATACTTTAAAATAGTTGTTTCCGTATATATTTGCTAATTGCAGCATCCAATCGTCTAAAATGTTATTTCATTGATTGTATAAATAAAATTTTAATAGTTAATTCGAATTATTTATTGTACAAACAACAATGAATAGTGTAACAAACCTGCAAAGTATCGATTGATTTTATGTTTCAACTTAATTATTTGTTTCAAATTGAATTAACTTTTTGTTTCAATATTAATTAACAGATGATAACGCCGTCAGATCTTGTACATAGCGGTGATTCAACAACTGTCGTCAAGTTTTGTACGACGGACGTTAATGAGGCTATTGGGATCGGACATGGAATCGGGGCTGAGGCTTTTGCTACCGGCGTACTTGTTTTTTTCGCGTGCAGTAGTTGGGACTCGCGAAATGCGAAGAAGACCGACTCGTTGGCATTGAAATTTGGCCTTTGCGTCGCCATGCTGTGTCTCGCTTTCATCCCTCATACTGGCTGCAGCATGAATCCTGCTAGATCGTTCGGACCAGCAGTCTGGACTGGCTACTGGCATCAGCACTGGGTATTCTGGTTGGGACCGATTGGAGGCTCCATTATTGCGAGTTTAATCTATCGATGTTTATTTTTGAAAAATCAGGAAAATACGCAAGAACGTGTGGAAACTTTGAACGACATCGAGACTTAAACGGAATAATATGTAAGTTTCTAAACGCCAATAAAAACATAATTTTATACAGATTAATTACACAGGCTAACAAAATTTAGGTGGGGGGAGGGGGGGTCTTGTGCTTTAAAAGATGTTTCCATAGAATTTTGATGCGATTACACTGTCCGCTTTTTTCCATTATATTCCTTCATTTTTTTTAGATAATCGCAAAAATAGTTTTCCGGGAAGTATCTTTTTTATTAATTTTTTCCAGCTAAACAAAAAATAATATCAAGATTTGTTTTGCAGCATTTAATTTAGAAATGTTCCAGCAATACTAAAAATATTTTTTCGATGCTTATAAAAATTTTGTGCAAACCATAGAAAAATCGTAAAAAAACCGGAAAAAATAGACAATTTTGAAATATAAAACCAATAATTCGAAAGAAAAAAATTATAAAAATTAATTAACAATTTATCCTTATAGCTGTATGTTTCTAGTTTAAATCCTTTTTTGAAAAATTAATTTCCGATCATTTGTTCAAAAGTTATTGAATTTAAAGCGCCAAAGCAGTCCGCGCGTTACCTACAATGCACGATATCCTCTCGAGTCTAACACATACTTACCGAATACAGAAGCATATTGTACAGTCTTTTTTGACAATATAAAGACTAAAATGTAAGGGGAAATAAGAGTCAGCTCGATGCGCAAGTATAATAATGGAAATGTTTATATATCCATTTTTATAAAAGTATAAAGACATAAAGTTCATATAAAATCCGTATGTTTCGACTTACTTCAAGTTATTCTCAATGATATTAATATAATTCTAATTCAACACAAATAGTGCATCAATCATAATACCAACATTCAACATCAAAGAGTTCCTTCATCCCAGTTTACAGACTAGAAGGAAACAAGAATTTTTATAAAGTGAAGCTATAATAAGAATGAGAATGTTACAGATATATATGTGAAATTATTTTTAAAAAGAACTGACAAGGAGAAAGTAGATTGATACTCATTGAATTGATGCAACTTGTGCGTACATGTACAATAATCAACCAGTAGAATATAATATTAATTTTGACAATTAGAGTAATTAACAAGAGTGATTCAAATAATTTTTTCGTCAAATGAAAAGAATAAAATGTAACAGTTGTTCTTTTCGGTTACATGGAGACAAATAACGTGTATCACAGTTGATATAAGTGCTAATCCGAAACGATCGAAAGTATAATTATAAACATTAATTTTTAAATAGTATTCAATAGTATTCAATAGTATTCAAAACTGACATATAGGCATGGTCCAAAAATTTAGTATCTATGGAGGTTAAATTTCTTTTTTGTGTTTTTATATACAACATTTCAGATGTTAATTTTTTGTTGTAATTCCTTTTTATATCCAAAACTTGTTCCAATCTTGTCCCAATCGAATTTATGATCAAATTGCAATCTGTGGTCTATAATGATCGAATGAGAAGACGTCTTTCTTTTAATATGATTTTGGTGTTCAGAAATGCATGTAGTTGAGGACTAGTTTGTCTTCGCAGTCTTTGCAGGCAATCTTTATACGATGTTTCTGTGCACTGGTTGATAAAGGATCTTTCTGCACTTTGATTAGACTGCGAAGTTTATTGATACTATAAAATGCAATTTTTGGATATCGTATTGTTAATAATTCTCTTGAATTTATCTGAAATATTGTTAACAAAGAGGGATCGTAAATCAAATAATTTTATTAGTTAAAATATATTTTATTTAGATGTCATATTCTTTTTGTTACTTTCATCATGTTATTATTTTTTATAAAATATTTTATTCTCTGAGATATAGTATTAAAAATATATTCAAGAGGATAGTCATTATTATTTAATAAAATGTTGATGATAAGTTCAAAATTTTTTCGATGAAATTTTGGGTCAAAAAGGAAGAACATTTTGTCAATCACGCTTTTTTTCTGTGAAAGAAGATGTCTGGATAAAAAATTTTGCATCGAGTACCGCGCTGACTTTTACTTCCCCTTATATTCTAATCTTTATATTGTTAAATATCAAAAAATCATCCTTCAATATTAATTGTTATTCTTATTATTGTTTAGTCTTTTTGATCATTGATTTCAAATTTGAAGTAAAAAATGTGCAATTCAAAATGGCGGATCCAATATGGAGAACAAGAATTTTAAAAAATCCGTACATGAATAACTGGTAGTTTTGTAAATCTCTGATTACTACTGTAATCACAATTGTTGAATTGAAAATAACAGATCCAATGGCAATGAATAATAAATGTACACGAAACGATGATTTTAGCCCTTATTATAATAAAGTGATACAAGATGGATAACGCTAAAATCACCATTCTGTGTACATTTACTTATTATTCATCGCCATTGGATCTGTTATTCTCAATTCAACAATTGTGATTACAGTATAAGTAATCAGAGACTTATAAAACCAAATACCAAATTATCACGTCAAATACCATATTTGATTTTATATTTCAAAAGTTGTCAATTTTTTCCGGATTTTTCCAAAGTTTTTTGTTTGCAGTTTGTATAAAATATTTTTATAAGCATCAAAAAAATATTTTTAATATTGTTGGAACATTTCAGAGTTAAATATCGTAACACAGACCTCGATATCATTTTTTTTGTTTAGCTGGAAAAAATTAATAAAAAAATTACTATCGGAAAAAACTGTTTTTGTGATTATTTAAAAAATGGAGAGTGATGGAAAAAAATAAACAATGTAGTCAGCTCATCAAAATCCTACAGAAACATCTTTCAAAGTTCAAAGTACAAGACCCCCCCCTCCCCACCCTAAATTTTGTCGGCCTATGTTATCAGTTTACGAGCAACATTAAAATTAAAATTAACTCTTTAATGTTTGTTAGGCATTAAAGCCTGTTTTTATGCCTGTTAGTTATGACATACCTGACATATCTTTTTCTATTTCTAATGTTTTTTTCATTGTTTATAACTTTTAATAAAGGTATTCATTTGATATAATTAGGATAAAGTTGCCGAAATCGCACCAGCTTCTAAATCGCACTACCTCGCTTACAAAATTTAATTATTGTATTTCATATTGTATTTATATACTATTTTACTTAGGGTTATTTAAAAACTACATAATACTTCAACTATTACATGCTACTTATACTCATGACATGAAGCGCAAAAGGAGCGTTGTTATTTATTAAATAAATAAAATCGTGATAGCGTTATTATTTTTCAATTTCATAGCAGAATTATAGAAAATATAAGTTAAATAGCCTTAGACTATTGATTGATAAGTCTTGATCATTTGTCGTGTTTTAGAATAATAGAATATTATTAAAATTAAATCAATTGAATTAAAGTTTGTTTTATATTTTTTTTAAAGATTTTTTACAAAATAAATAAAAGTTTTAAAAACACTCTAGTGTGTTTCCTAAATCGCACAATCTTTTAAATCGCACATTATCTAATATTTTTCCTCTATTTTTATATTTCTTATATTTTTATTCTATTTATTATTATGTAGAAATGTACACGGAGAGAAAAATGTTTGATATTTGTAATTATAATTACATATATTACTATAATTATGATTATTACTACTATAATAATAATAATAACAGTAACTATATACGTAGTTCTAGCAACTAATGTATATAGTTGGGGGGGGGGCAATCTAAAATGATTATAATTATAGTTATTATATCCACAAAATAGTTGAAATTATTATAAAAATGATTTAAGTAATTATAATTTTACAGTTATGTTTTGAAACAACCATATTT